CGTGTGACACTGTTCTCGGATAAAAGTAACATTAAAATATCTCGCAACATCGCTGTGATTTTAGCGGCATCGGCGCGGCGCGGTCCATCAGACACATTTTTAGTGACCTGACAAGGGTTACCGGACATCATTCGGTACAATTTACGAAAATAAAATATATAGGGAGGTAGATCGATCGTATCGGGCGTCGGCGAGCTCACAGCGTTATTCCATTACGAGGGGTGGGAGTAGAATATCAAATGAGAGTTGACCCTTATATCTCGTGACTCGTCACTGGCCGCTATAAGATAATTGGACGATGGACATTATTATTTATTGTGGGATTCGCGGGTAAATATGACTGCTTAATTGGCGGTAGTACGGTGTCTGTAAACGTTGATAAGTTGAGTAAATGCTGGACAATTGTAGCTCGTTCACAGATGGTTACCTATCGAGATAATCTTAAGTTCCTGTTAGATTTCTGTTCACTTGTAAACAATATTAAGGAACATAAGTATAATAGATGGTTTCCTAAGAATCCAAATCGTCGTGATGATCACCGCTTCATCGCACCAATAAAATGTCACGTCACATGTCCACACACATCCCGCATTTCCAGTTTGACCAGGCACATATTTAACGGACTAAAATACTCTAAGGTTAGCTCTGTTCGTGGCAAAATGTCCCCTAGCCTGCTGACCAAACAACATTAACCTTTTTAAATTATAATCTGACTTTTTCACCTTGTGTTTTTTTTAATTTACCCTTCAGTAGCCCAAAGTGGCCAGCGTAGGCGGGACTCGACCTACGCACAGATTTTTGATAATGTTACAAATAATTACTAAATTGAAATAAAGATAAACTTTTGTTTATGTTAATTTATTCATGTAAAGATAAAGAAGAACTCACTTGTTCCTTCACGTGTTAACAAAAAAAACTGTCGAATAAAGAAAACGCCTTTTGAAGATAAAAAGTTTTCCCGAGATCTCGTCGTTTTTATTAAGAAATATTACCCGTGTAATACCCAAATATGTACGTCTGTTTTTTGTCGAAGAAAGTACAGTCAATGATCAAAGGAGCATAGTTGTATTGCTTGTATATTTTTCCACCTTAGGTATGTTAATACTGTTTCTTCATTCTTAGTAGAAATAACTTCATTCATTCAAAAGCTGTTGACAAAAGTTAGCTGCTCAGCAACAAATCTCACCGCCACTCCCGAAGTCACTGAGCGAAGTCATCAATGTCCAATCGGAAGTCCTATTTTCGTCTGAACCGTTTTTACTGCGTTTATGATTACGATACTTCAACTTAATGAGCGCCATAATCGTTTAATTAAAGGCGTTGAAAGCATTACCTTAATGCGTTCCACGGGAGCGCAATAACTTACGAATGATTAAATTCTGAAGTCAACTAAGTGTTTCTATTGCACCTTTCATAACAAAGGAATGTCGATATTTTTCCACTAACATAAGCGCAGAAACAATTCGTTTAGTACAAAATGGAGTTTAGACTTGGTTCTACTTTAGCTGAGCTCAATAATGGAGCCGCTTTATCACTATTGGTGTCTTAGCATTTATCCGAAGCGGCTGGCCTTTTAAGCCTGGACCCACTAGAGACGCAGGTGTGCTAAGACTCCGTCCAGTTGAAACTGATAATTTTGCTCGACTTTACTCAAGCGCTCGGTACAGATGAATTTAGCTTATATTGTCTAATAGAATGGGTCAGAAAGTTCACGTTAACTCAAGTTAAAGCACTTGACTAATTGGAAATTTCATTATCGGACCTAAGACTTTTTTAGGAAACACAAAAAATTTAATTCAAGCAAAAATTATTTACATATGATACCGCTGTAATTACAAAGTCGATTTTTAGATACCAGAGTCCACGTTCGTGCAACTAAACTGTCTCTTAAATCTGCAAAATAAAATAGCATTTAAAAGTAACTACTCCAACCACAGCACGATTAAAAGCAGAGAAATTCGCATTGGAAAATCAGTTCAGTTTATGAGGAGGGCCGTGAACGGTTGCTTTTGTGTGGGTAGATTGATAAATGCGCGGAAGCACTCGGCGCCTAATGAATGGGGTGTGGCACGCACGCTGCATGCCATTGCAGTATCTGCAATCCTTGCTAACTGCACTGCCATAGCGCACCACCGAGATATTTACGATTTTCGCACTTACTCAACCGCGAACACTGTTACTGTTTAAAGCCAAAGAAAACTACATTTTAAACCTAAGCAATTTTGGTAATTTTTATTTCTTCTAACAAAAAGCTTGCTAAATTATTCTATTAACTTCTTATTCCAACCTCTGTCACTTCTCTGGGAATAAAATAATGGATTTCAAGGCCAACGTAAAGTGAAAATCTGCAAACAAAAAACTGAAAGTAAATTAATTAAATCATATAAAATATAGAAATTTGTGGAATCAATTTACAAATGAATGACAAATAACTACTCGTATGTTACAAATGAACACAATATCATGAGCAACTCACTACATGGAAATGCAAACACTCAACGTCTTACGAATGGGAAGCGAACAATACAAAAAGAAATGAGATGAGACTACGTACTAACAACTGTTTTAAATATAAACGTTAAAACAATCAGCACGGAAACGAGGCATCCCCTGATACCTTGGACATTAAAACGAAAAGCAATTTCGCGAGGAGAACACTTGTACCTCGCTCCCATTCGAGCAGACAGGCAAGCGATTCATTTCCCTGATGGCCAACCATTACAACGGTCAAGATGGATGGATAACAAACCAGCAATTACACTATAAACACAATGACAATCGAATGTTTTCACTAATTGAAAAAGCCTTACACGGATCGATTCATTTGAGAGCACTATATGAAATGAAAGTTGGACATGGCGTGAGGTGACGCGACATCTGATATATTAACTCCATTGACTTTACGAGCGCCGGTGACGTTTATTAAACTAGTGGGTCACCTTTAAGCTTCTGCGTATTAATCGAGGAGTTAACGTGTAAACAAACAAACTATATTCGACCAAAGAACTGCGTACAGAAGAACGACTATAAGAAACAAAATTATGCATTATTTTAATGCGAATGAGAATGAAGATTAATTTAAGAAAATTATAATTTTGTAAATAAAAAAGATAACAGAAAGTATTATAAAACGCTCATGAGTTAGTACAACTAAAACGATAATGAAGGAATTAGCGAGTTCGCATCACTTGGCAAAGAATCCTAATCATAATAACTCAAGATCGTATCGCAAGTAGAAGGCGATGAACAAAAGGCTGCGAAGCAACAATGGCGCCCAACGCGGGGCCGAGAGGCGCGCTAACAAATTACCAACCCGCAGATAACTAAGCAATATTAAATCATAGTAATTTGTGGTTGCAAGACGCAGCCCCTTTTTCGGCAAGATTCGTTAGGACCAAGTTGTTTTTGTACTTTTTCTTTCACTGATAACATCCAGATAAGAAAAACTTCTTCAACTTCTGATAAAGTAATGATGACTTTAATCGTGTTACTGAGAAGAAAGAAGTATTCAAATCAGTCATTCGGTAGTTGGCAACTTAACGTGAAACTGCAATTTTGCCGCTCATAAAACAGGAAACTGGCGGCGCCAGGCGGATTTCAGTGCAATCGCATCTTTTCACCCGCCTTCTTTGGCAGCACATTAGCAATTCTAACCGTCGCAATAGTTGCTCGGAAATTGTAATATTTAGTCTTAATAAAGCCATTCGTAACGCTGAATATCCGGAACAGACGTGAGCACCGCGGTTCGCCCGGGGCCCGCTCGAAGTACTGGCGCAACGAGAATTTACACTAACGCTTTATTCACTAGAATGTTACTGTGCTCTTTTATATGACGCAGTATATTCACTCGGATGCTTATCTGTAAGTGTTCAACTACAAAAACAAACAGTATTTTTATCAGTTTCTACATGACTTGGAAGCTAAACGTTCGGTTGATAGGACGTCAATGAGTTTCAATGTATTTTATTTAAATACTTTTTGTTAATTGAACTGGAACAAATGGAAACGAATATTCAAAATTCTAACCGCTATAAATTTCGCACACGAACGATTCTGAAACGGTCTGTGGCTATTGTATTGTATGGTGCGGCAACAGGATATAGTTTATTAATGAACCGATATCGAGCAATATGAGGCGCGGAACGCATTCGATAAATTTACGGAATATAGCCCCGCGGACAATGGATACTTTGCCAGTGGGACGGTGCCATATGCAATCTTTTAAAATATTGTAAAAACGAAATCCCGTGCCAAAATGTGTTAATTCGGCACTTATGTAACAGGGCACAAACGCCTCGTGATATTGTGCGAAAAATTTTACGTGGGAAGTCCATACATTAAATTAAGCTTACATCAGGACTTGAGTGGGGTCGAGCTTTTAAAAACAACACGAGCTAGCTTTTAGGCTGCTATTAGCTTGTGTGCTGCATATATCAAATATGTCAGAATTAGGACCAGAAAAGAGAAAAGAGAAAAGAATGCCTTAGTAGTTTCCGTGCAGTATTCACGTATCACAAAAAAATATTCATCTTTTCTAGAATAGTACTCATTTGTATGACTTAACGTGATATTATATATTAATTACTTAAAACAAAATATTTTTATAGCTATTATTATCGTGTCAAACCAACAAATAAGTAAACGGCATCTTTCGGAGGGTTGAAGAACTACACAGTTAACGAGACTTCATTCGTTCGCCTAGTTTCTTCAAAACCTACTACGCGGTTAAATTCTAAACTAAGCGCCATCTATCCAACGTCGTGGCTATCTGTTGGAAGACGGCAGCGCCATCTAGTTCAGCGTAGAGCAACTGTCAGCTGAAAACAGTTCAGTAGCTGTCTCCCACAGGAACATGAGCGGGTTGTCGTAAATTCGCCAATAGAGGGCAGTATAACGTAGATTGCAAAACTGTTGTGATGTGCATTATGCAGGATGAAACCTTAAATATTTCATTTCATAAAAAATCTTTACTTTTAATTTATTATTGTCTAGGTACTTACGGGTGTGGTTTCAGCCTCCATTATGATGGTTTTGGGCTGCAACTTAAATGTCTGAAACAGAGAAAATAATCCAATCACTATAAATCACATATCGCGAGACGGTCGATGTGAGTGCCGATGACCTTTGCGGGAAACTCATACTGAATTCTTACATCGTCTACGCTTTAGACGTAAATGTTAGAGCATGAGGAATTGCGGAAAAACTTGCTGTATAATAGTTTGCAAGATTATTTTCGAGAACTTCTCAATGTTGGACGGAAATGCTTGAATTTTGCTAATAGTGGACCACTCGGCATCCTTTTCAACGATGCACTTAAAGGTTAAAACTTTTCGAGACTTATTTAGTTAATTACAAGGAATCTTCGTGGTTCTGGTAGCTTAACCAAGTATGTATGGTAGGTATATGATTTTAGATTCAACGTATAGGAACAGCGGCCTTTCCAAAAGTGGGAGATATGGTAGTTATATACAACTAAATCACACAATTAGTTATAGAACAGAGCGAAATTAGTCTGAAATAAATAAACACAGCGTAGTAAACGTGAGAAAAGTTTAAAATAAATTGAATATGTTTTCTAACAAGTTGTACAAGATTTCGAAGTTCACAATTTGCATGGTAAACTTGTGTGTGGTTTTTATTAAACAAAGCATACACATACCTACTTAGAAGTGAAATAAAAAGTAAGAAGATTCTTAACGTGATTCATTTTTGTAACTAATTCTTCAACGTTTAGTTCTTTAGGTTTTAATAAAGCAGACCCTAATATAAACAATGTTTATCCAAAACTCTTATGCAATCCTATTTAACTAATACCTTTTCTCATTCTGAAGGTCACACATACATCGAAGGTAAGTCAGCCAACCAAAATAAATTAGCTACGAGCCCGAACTGAACATAAATTACGAGTGTGGTAGCAAATCTGTGCATAGGTAGCTCTTAACCTTTAAGAAACCCCATGACCTCTGACTGGTAACCCCAAACTGCGACCCCCGACCCCATACGAATCAAGTACTAAATGATTATTATTATAGCCTAATTTTCACTGGCACTTAATATAAGAAGAATTAGTTTTATGAGCCTTAATGGATTCGCTTGTATTTTTGCTGAAATAAATGAGGATTTTCATTATATTTTAGTTCTTAATTTAGTTGCGAGGGCTTGAGAGGATATCCGTGGCTTGAGTGCGGCCGAGCTCTAGAAGTAAAACCGCTTTAAGTTTTTTTCTTTAATTTTAGACGAGGTTTCTCCCTCAACTTTGCTTGGATGTTCCTAATTAAATGATATTATAGTGTTATTTTATTAACGTAAACATGATTTCTTCTGGGGACAATTTCGTACTAATATTTTAACTTTATTAGTTACCTGAACATGTATATAAATGTTATTAGTGAATAATTTTGATATTACTTCATTAAACTGTCAAACACCAAGCGGTCACCGGTGACCGTAACCTATTGTTCTATAATTGTGTCTACAAAACCGGTACTCGACGAGTTAAGGAAATTGTGTCAGTGAAGCCGATACTAAATAAGATTGTTGTTTGCAACAATTTTAGAAAATAAATAAATATTCTTCAGAAACTAAAAGCCTACCTTTACCCTAATTCGGTCAATCTAGTTAGCTTCTTGCATTCGCATTAGCAACAAGTTAAGCAAACAGACCATAGTAAAACAACCCGAAATATCCAAAACAACAGCAATACAAAATATTACTGAAGCTATCATCGCTTAGCTTTTCGCTTCTCAGTTATAATCACATTTTTGTACAAGTAAGTACCCGGCTTCGAATATGACGCACGTAAGTAGATCCCAGGAGAGAGACCGCCCCAGGAGACTTATATATCGTAAAATATATAACAGGGCTAAGGAAATACAAGTAGTAATAAATTACTGGTTCGTACCCACACTAACCCTTTTCAGTCACTCCATTCCTGTCTTACGGGCTAAGATAAGAGGATAACTGGAATCTTGAGCAGTGATTTCGTTAAAGCGAAAGAATAACCTTTTTGTCAGTTGTTTTTGAGGAGATTTTTGTGTTTACTACTTATTTAGGGTAAGTCTTTAGGTATAATCTGTCTTGAAATTTGGCTGTTAGACTTATAATTTTGTCATCGTTTCTTTGGAGTTCGTGATTTTTAAAACGTTGCCCCACACTAGGGTTTTCTCCTGTGTCGTGGATGCATTTACAAACATACAAGTTCACATACACATGACACCCAGACCCGAAACAACAATTTGAGGATCACACAAAGAGTTGTTCCGGTTCCGGTGCCGGTTGCCCAGCTACTACACCAACCGTGCAGTCAAATACTAAGGTGGCGATAGACAGAGATAAATATTGAGACTTGAAGTCAGTTAACACATCACACATAGTTTACAAGACCAGACAGTAGCAAAATGAGATAACTACCTATTATTTATCATGAAAAAAATCAAGAAAAGTCTAAACACGCTTACTGTACGGCGGCAATTACCAATGTTGCCATTCATATGTCACTGAACTGACAAAACATCAACTCGAAGATTCACATCGCTGTAAATATTTGCAAAGAAAAAAAACATTATGACAGAATTAAATCATATTTTAGACAAAACTGTAAGTTTGTACCATATTGAGAAATTGGACATACAAAATACATTAAGTGAAACATTGGTTTGCACTTTGCTTACAACGGTGCGAATATTCACAGTAATTTAATTCAATAACAAGAATTTTGTATTAAATTCATGATTTGCAATCCAAAAATTCCATTGACAAGACATAGCACAATGCAATCGGGTTTGTTTTAAAACAGTAAGTACCTAATTACTTACAAAGCCAGAACCAGTTTATTGTCCACTAATCAAGTTATCCCAAACTGACAAACTTCAAACTATACACAACATTATTAAAAAAGAAACGAACGTTGAATTTTAATATGTGCTGACGTCTGAATCTTTTAAAGACTTTAAAAAACCGTTGAAGAAATCTGCCTACCTTCTAATAGGTACAATCCAGAACAAATTGTTGCTGATCGTCAGACACTGTGATCCAGGTCGAGAGTTAATGTGTGTTGACACATTACGCGTATCTGAAGCACTAATTAAACATACAGGCATCAAGCGTCATTCATTATCGTTGGAGTCAAGGAGACATTAAATATTTTTTTATAAATTAAATACGACTCATTGGTTGAGTGGCAGTGCAAGTGCAAATGCAGAATAAATGGTTTTGGCTATGATATGGGAATTAAGCAATGTATTATTGGCTGGTATTTCTATTTTTGGGAGTGTCAACAATATCTAAAACCCCGTAATTGTGTGTAGCTACAGAATCACTCTGATCAATCACACTTTTTTTTTTGGGGGGGCGGAAAGTCATCGAATGGCCTCTCCCGCCTGGGTGAGGCGGGAGGGAGTGTCAGACTCTTACTGACTAAAAAGCACCCTGTTCCTACTCATGCATTTCGAACCGGAGCCCCGGTAACCCGTTAAGTTCTCCGCGGGATCAATCACACTAGACCATAATACTCGTAAGACAACACAACGGGCCGAAAAGTGTGTGTTATACCTATTTGGACTTCTTAAACTTCTGAACATTATTGCCAAATATGTAATATAAATAACGTGCATTAAGGTTTTTTTTTTATATTTGACGGGCCGACGTTTGACCACCTCGCTTGGTTTGGTGCTAAGCGATGATGCGGTCTACGATGGAGCACGTCGTCCCAAGCAACCCTTCACTCGGGCCTTGAAGACTCCCAGTTTGTGACTTTGTTAGTGTGTATGTTTGTTACTGAATCACGTCAAAACTCCTAAAGGGATCGGGATGAAATTTGAAACGGGGGTAGATTATAGTCTGGAATAACACATTTTTTTTAAGGGGGAAAATCATCGAATGACTGCTCCCGCCTGGATGAGGCGGGAGGGAGTGTCAGACTCTTACTGACTAAAAACCACCCCGTTCCTTCTCATGCACGTCGAGCCGGAGCCCCGGTAACCCTTTAGGTTCTCCGCGATTGGAATAACGCATAGGCTACATTTTACCCTACGGGACCGCGAGTGAAACAGCGGGCAGAAGTTAGCTCAGCTCAACATATATAGCTCAAATATATGTTGTTGATACGTTTACAAAAAGTAATTAATTAATTAACTAAAAATCGCGGGTTACTCACGTGAATATACTGAGAAAAGTTCTACAAGTTTCGAACCACAGAGGGGTTCTTCCTCATGAGCAGCGTGCGCGGTCCCGGCGATGTTGCGCAGCCTACTGAACATCGGTATATTTACGTGACTAACCCGCGATTTTTAGTTAATTTAGTATGTCTCACGAAAGTTATTATAATTATTAATTAACTTTATGATATATGTAAAACCTCTCACGCTAGACTTTGTAGAAACAAACATTCATAACTAAGTTCGGCGTAATTTTCCTCTACAAGAAACGAAACAGTAAAACGTAAGTAAAGTTTTATTTTATTCGAGTATTTTTGTCCAAAAAGTTGTTATATCATAGGCATATTTCTAGAGGCTTGTTATGGAATAATAAGGCACTTTTCAAGTAGGCTCAATTTCTTATTAAAATGTAGATCATTATCATCCCCTACCTACATTACTCCCAATTTATTTATCACGGCCCCTAATGCACGCCTACAGCTACATCGAACTTTTTACTTTTTTAAACTCGAAATATCTCGGAAAGTATGCCGCTTAGGACATCCCTGTACATTTCTGGACTGTTATCATGATGCGGATATTTTTTTTGAAAATGGACGGTATCGCTTGTGGAAGCTTTTTAATCCTTTTAAAGTATGATGAGGAAAGACTTAGTAAAAACGTTTATCTAGTTGTGTTTGCGATTTTATATCACTTAAAAACTACATTACTTCTCATAAGTTCTGCACATGCTAAATATAATCTTTCTGCGATCAGAACGGAAAAGTATAATTTATTGATTTTAAAAAATTCCTTTAGCAAAACCGAACCAACATAAAAACCCACCATAACCGTAACATGTTACCTGTAAACGGACGTCCTCAACGCCGTCGAACTCAAGGTAAATACGAGGAACA